ACTCTAGTGCAGAGGCTCTCAAATTGTGGGTTGCGACCCCTTTGGCAAGTCTCTGTCTCCAAAAATCTTCACATTACAATTCATAACAGCAGCAAAACTTCAGTTATAAAGTAGCAAAGGCGTTAATTTTAGGTTGGGGAAGGTCACCAAAGCATTTAGGAAGGTTGGGAGCCAGTGGTCTAGTGAGTGACCTGGCAGGCACCCTGCAGCCCTTGGTGGCTTTAAGGGAAAGTGTTGTGTTTGTTCTTAGTTTTAAAGGGGAAAGAGATGGGCCAAGGCTTGGGTAAAGCAGGTGCCACCTAAAGCTTGAGTGACTTTTGCTCACTGTTCCAGTCAGAGACTGTGTCTACAGCCTGCCCATGTCCTCACACACTGTGTTAGGCTGAGAGCAGGTGTGAACCACCCCGGGCATGTGGACAGGTGTGCATGTATTTAACATAGCTCAGTGGCCAGCAGAATGGCATTTTTAGCTTTAAAAACAAAGTATGCCTTTTTTTTTTTTTTTTTTTTTTTTTTTTTTGCGGTCTAGCATCCACTTCCAATGACAGACGAAACACAGCACTGTCTGATCACACATGAGAATGGCTGGGAAAGCTAAATGCCAGTTGCTGTGACGTCCTGACCTCAGTGTCAACACTCCTTCCATCATTTCTTTTATTGTGCTTCTTCCGGGAGAGTCTGAGCTAGCCCTAGCTGGCCTGGAACTAGCTATATAGCCCAGACTAGGTTTGAATTTTTGATGAACCTCCTGCCCTTGCTTCTGGAGTGCTAAAATCATGGATGCAAGCCAGGATACCCTGTCTTGGCACCTCTCCTATCCCTCAACTGTATGCCTGAGAAGGAAAGGCTTGGAAACTTAGGCCAAGGGTAGCATGCTGACTGGAGTATAGATTTTGGAATAAGTATCTGATTTGAGCAGAGATCCAGCACCTTCACCCCATAGGAAAACCAAATGGGTTTTCTTAAGAATAGATGGGAAGCCGGGTATCGGTGGCGCACACCTTTAATGCCAGCACTGAGGAGGCAGAGGCAGGTGGATCTCTGTGAGTTCAAGGCCAGCCTGGTCTACAGAGCGAGTTCCAGGACAGGCTCCAAAGCAATACAGAGAAACCCTGTTTTAAAAAACAAAAACAAAAAAAAAAAAGAAAGAAAGAAAAGAAAAGAAAAGAAAAAAGAATAGATGGAGAGGATGTTAAGGTCTCCATCATGTAGAAAAACAAAAAGGGTAGAGAGTGTGGGGGGAGGGTGGGAAGAGATTCAGGTACGGGGGCACACATCTGTCATCCCAACACTTGAGAAGAATCAGGAGTTTGAGACCAGCCTCTATTGTACATCATATTCAAGGCCACATTGGGGTACCTGTATCCTTGTCTAGAAGAAAAGGAAGAGGACTAGGGATAGGGAGGAGGAAGACAGAGAGTGAGAAACACATGGAGAGGGCTGTAGGGGTCATGTTGGAAGGGATAAGAGATGAGATTTAAAAAAAAAAAGGCAAGGCAAATGAAATAAATAAAATGGATGGTGGTTAGTTTAATTATCAACTTGACGTGCTTCAGTGGAGGATGGTAGAGTCTGGCCTGTAGGTATATCTGTGGCAAATTGTGTTGTGGTGAAAAGAACCAGCCCACTATGGGCAGCACCATTCCCTGGGTTGGGCTCTTGGGCTATATAAAGAGAAGAAAGTAAACTGAGTGTAAGCATACATGCATTCTCCACTCAGCTCCTGATGGCCAATGTGGTGAGTCCAGTTGCTTCACGTTCTTGCCAGGATGTCCCCCTCAAAGATGGGCTGCACCCTGGAACTGTAAAAGCTGCAATAAGCTCTTTCTCTCCTCAGCTGCTGCTTTTGTTTGTTTGTGTTTGTTTTATGAGTGTTTCCCCTTGCTTTAGTTACATGGGTTCTTGGGAGCTATAAGCAAAAATTATAGAACACTGTCTTAATTCACTGGACATGTGTCTGGAAAGGAATAGGGAACCTCACCGACCATGTGAGGAGCTTGGTATAAACAGTTATATCCTCATCAGAAGAGCTAGCTATAAGGAACACACAGGACAAAACCACTGCAATTCTGTGGACTGCCCTTAAGCCACCTAACCACTAGTTGATCTGTTTGAATGTGGAGTCTTGGTTGTGTAGAACTGGCTTAATGTTTTGAACTGATGCAACATTGATTTGTGAGCTAGGGCTAGGAGATACATGCCTGAGCAGTGTCAGAAACTCTGCAGCATACTGGATAAGGGATCGTACTATCACAGTGGTATTAGGGGCTGGAGAGATGCCTCAGTCGTTAGGAGCACTGACTGTTCTTCCAGAAGACCCAGATTCAATTCCCAGCACACACATGGTGGCTCACAACCATCTGTAACTGCAGTTACAGTGACCTGATGCCTTCTTCCCTAATACTACATGCACTGTGTGTACATGGTACACTGATATATGTCAAAAGGAAGCATTCATGCACATAAAATAAAAATAAATATTTTTAAAAAATAGTATCAGATGGCCAGGTGGTGCATGTGTTTAATCCCAGTACTCGGGATGTAGAGGCAGGTGGATCTCTGTGAGTTCAAGGCCACCCTGGTCTACAGATCGAGTTCCAGGACAGTCAGGACTGATACACAGAGAAACCCTGTCTCAAAAAACAAAAAAATAGCATCAGATGTTTAAGGAGCAAGCTATAGACTTTGGTAACTCATCAACTTAGATAGTCATGTGAGGTCCGGTTCTGCCTGCCCAACCTCTATACCCAAGTGACTATAAGAACTTGGAGGGCAGCCGAGCATTTGGTGGCACACTCTTTTCATCCCAGCACTCCGGAGGCAGAGGCAGTCAGATCTTTGTGAGTTTGAGGCCAGCCTGGTCTACAGAGCTAGTTCCAGGATAGGTCCCAAAGCAATACAGAGAAATCCTGTCTCAAAACACCAAAAATAAATAAATAAATAAATAAATAACTAAATAAATAAATAAATACTTAGAGGACGTTTGATCACTAAGAGCCCCTCCAAATCTTCTACATCTTCTATTCTCATCATCTGAGGCACAAAGAAGTGGCAGGTCACAATCTGAGGTCACACAAACTCCAGGAGCCCAGTGAGACAGCAGGGATAGTAGGCTAGCCATCTCCCGAAGACCAAAACTCAGCAGAGACAATCAATTGTACAAATGGGACCTCACACCTGATTGCTTTACTGTCTTCCTCCTGCAATCAGTTACCCCAGCCACAGCCAGGGTGTCCCTGCACCCATGGATTCCCAACAGACAGAATTTCTAACCGTTCACATCGAGATGGAGCAGTAACCAAGTCAGCCTTTGGGGAAAATGCCTTCAGTGGGGTGTTTTAAATCTCTTGGTTGTTCTGTTGCTCACTCAACTGCAAGTCCAGCCATCGGCCCTGAGACTAAGGGGTTTGACAAAAAGCCAGTCTGCTTCCAGGAATTATGGGTCTCAGTTACACCTCCATCGTGTCCTATAAATATATTGAAACTGAAATAACCTTAAGGCAGGCAATTTAAAGCCCCCCCCCCAGTCCTGAAGAATTGTACCCACATGCTGACATGAAGAAGCAATGGGGTCCCTGGGGTTCATTTGTAATGCCGAGAACAGCCACTTGGCTGTCATGGGGATTGATGAACGTGCTACGGAAATTTTTTCTAATAAAATGCTTGGGCTTTTTCTTTTCAATTGGAACTGAAGCTGACGTGCAATGTGTGGTGGAGATTTTGGGTGAGGCTTTTGGAGTGGGAATGGGCTTGGAGCGGCCTCACATCAGCTGTGGATGGGGAACTGGTTGCAAATCTTGAGTCTTGGAAGTTTATAGCAAAGCCTATAGCTTCAACTTTCCCCTCCAGGGCCCCAGAGTTTGAACCTTGTAAACATTACTAAATTCAGGGCTAAGGAGATGGTTCAGTCAGTAAAGAGCTGACTTGCAAGTGTGAGGACCTGCACTCCATCCCTAGAACCCATGTTTAAAAAAAAAAAAAAAAAAAAAAAAAGCCAGGCATAAGGGCATATGATTTTAATCCCAGTGCTAAGGAGGTGGAGGCAGAAGGACTCCTGGGACTCTATGACCAGCCATCCTTCACTACTTGGTGAGCTCCAGGCCAATGAGAGATAACTGTCTCAAATGACATGTGGATCACTCCTAAGGATGACACCTGAGGTTGCACTCTGGCCTTCATACATACCCAAGTGCACACATCTGAAAGAACACACATTCAAATACCACTAAACAGCGTTGTCATTTCTGGGAAAACATATTGGGTTAAAACAGAGACGTTCTTGTCTTCAAGTTTCATGTCGGTAGACAGCTTTACCTCTTCTAGCACTTATGACCCAGAATAACTGGGTGGGGGGAATAGTTGGGAGTTTTGATCTTTAAAAAAGTCATAGCCTGGCAGTGGTGGCACAATCCCAGCACTGAGAGGCAGAGGCAGGCAGATCTCTGTGAGTTCAAGGCCTGCCTTGTCTACAAAGCGATTTCTAGGACAAGCTCTAAAGCTACATAGAGACACCCTGTCTTGAAAAACAAAACAAAACAAATCATATACTGCAGGCCTTGTTTATGCATAGACTATATTGAAAAGACTTTGCACAATAAACTTCTGTCCAAGCATTGTCGATGAGCTCATTTCACACCATGAGTGGGAGCCGAAGTGGTTAAGTTTCTCCAAATTCCACCACAAGCTGCAAAAGGCCCCTCCCCAGCACCACCATCAGGCTGTGTCCTCATGCCACCCTGGCAGGTGACAGTCTTGCAAGATGCATGGAGCTCAGATTAAGTGTGCAGTCTCACACAGAAACCCACTGTTAGGATTGTCTTCTAAGAAAACATCTAGGCAAATGCATGAGAATGGATGTCACACTATCCCCTGTTACTGCAGATCCAAGCAATATAGAAAGAGAAAAGCAGGGTCCAGCAGGATGCTTTGAAACAGGGGACTAATGGCAGATGGCAAGGGATGATTCTGGCAAAGTCCCAGGAAGGGGAGCCATGCCTTACCTGATTGCTGGAGGAAGGTGTTCCAGTCAAAATTGGCATTTGGTATTGTTGCAATTCCTGGTAGAAGGAATCGGAAAAGAAAAAGGGGAAGTTTGGGTTCTTACAAATCCATTCAACTTTCTGAGCACTATAATGGCTTTCCATGGTCCCCTCGGCACAGAGGTTGGGTGCACCTGTGGATGCCTGGGACACACCACCCAGCTGGACCAGCATCCCACTCTGGGTGGTACAGAGCTTGAGCTCTGTTTAGATAAAGGTTCGCCTTCACTTACAATTCCCCAAATCAACATTCAGTGTATCATATACAGTTGTGCACTCTGTCATTTCCTTGGATAGATTTAAGTTAACCTTTTTGTTAAACAAACAACAAACATTTCAGCCAATAGTGATGCCTCATGCCTGTTACCAACACTTGGAAGACTAGAAGCAGGAGGATTACATCAAGTTCCAGTAGAAGCCTGGTGTACAAAAGAGGACCCTAAAGACAGGAAGGCAGAGAGAGGAAGGTTGAATTTATAAATTATATCATCCAACCCCACCTCTGACCTTGCTCTGAGGTCATCACTTGTCCAGAAAGTGCTGCTTAAGTGCCTTTTGCATGGGACTTGCAGCCCCAAGACATGTGGAACAAGTGCTTCCTCCAGTCAACAGTGGTCAAACAAAGAGGTCAAACATGCTTGCCCTAGCACAGTGGTTCTCAACCTGTGGGTCAAGACCCCTTTAAGAGGGTCGGACAACACTTTCACAGGGGTTGTACATTAAATGTTTGTGATTTTTACGAAAAAGTGCTGGGTGGTAGTAGCGCACCCTTTTAGTCCCAGCATATGGGAGGCCGGTGGATCTCTGTGAGTTCCAGGTCAGCCTGGTCTACAGAGCTAGTTCCAGGACAGGCTCCAAAAGCTACACAGAGAAACCCTGTCTCAACCCCTCCCACCCCACCCCACTCCCCAAAAAATAGTAGCAAAATCACAGTTATGAAGTAGCAATGAAGATAATTGTATGGTTGGGGGTCACCACAACATGAGGAACTGTATTAAAGGGGAGGAAGGTTGAGAACCACTAGTTTAGCAGAATGGGGGCAGGAGCCCAGTTTCTTTGGGCAAGAAATAAACCAAGGCAAAGCCAGGAGAACACCAAGTCCTGCCCACACTATCTCCTAAATGCTTTGCACAGTCCTGTGGGCACATCTTTTTCTCAATGAAAACTCCAATGAAGAGCTTGTTTGAAAAACAGGGCAGGGTCTCGTGTAACTCTGGCTGGCCTTGAACTCATTCAGTTTTGACCTTCTTTTTGAGTTCACCTGCCAAGTACTGGGGTCTCAGAGGCCCCCTGGAGCCTGGGTGACATGAGGAAGTCAAGAGGGGCCTGTGGAGCTGACACATTGGGGCTTCCTGCCTTGGCCACTGCACCTGTATCCACCAAACTCAAAAAATCAGTCCCAAATCAGTCTTTGGACACATCTGACCATCCTCCACCCTCTAAGATAGTGGTGTATAAGGGTCAGTGTAGCTGGCTAAGGGAGCCAACTGCCACTGTCAGGGGATACTGGGAGGGGAGGAGGATGGCTTAGTGCAAAGGAATCCATGATAGCCAGATCAAGGCAACTCTTTGTCTCACTTAGATGTTATACAAGCTCCTGGAATTCCAGCTGAGGTTTAAGGTAGGATGATCAGGAGTTCAAGGCCAGCATGGGTTAGAGAGTCTCTAAAAACAAACCAAGTACCAGGTATGGTGGTGGCACACACCTTTAATCCCAGCCCTCAGGAAGCAGAGGCAGGTAGATCTTTGTGAGTTTGAGGCCAGCCTGATCTACAGAGCCAGTTTTAGGATAGTCATGACTACACAGAAAAACCCTGTCTTGAGAAACAAACAACAAAAACAATAACAAAAAAGAAAAGAAAAGAAAAAACAACAAACCAGGATAATGGGGTGATGGGAGATGTCATTCTGTATATGTTTCTCATACTGGTTAATGAATAAAGCACTGTTGGCCAATAGGAAAGGAAGACAGGAGGGACTAGGAGACAAGGAAGAAAGAGGAAGTAGTAAGGAGGAGTCAAGATGGAGGGTCTGGAGAAAGCAGAATGCCGGCTGGCTCCCCAGTAAGAAAAGACCACGTAAAAATACATAGATCAGCAGAAATGGGTTAATACTTAAGACAGAGCTAGCCAATAAGAAACTAGAAACAGAATTATATCAAATACAGAGTCTCTGTGTGTTAATTGGGGCTGGCGCAACGGCGGGACCAGGCCTGCAGCGGGGAGGAAAACCTTACTCCTTACAATGGGGTCTATCTCCACTGGTGAAAAATGTGGTCATGTATATTTCTCGCTATTACTTTATAATTTTCCTCATCCATCTTTTATTCTAATGCTAGAAAACAACAGAAAGTTAATGTCTCTGCTAATTATTCTTAATATATCTCAGACACTATAGTATCTCATCAGCCAACATTCTCTCAAAATGTACTAGGGTCAGGGAGATGGCTCAGTAGATGAAGGTGCTTTCTGCCAAGCCTGACTTCAATCCTTGGGACCCACATGGTGAACAGAGAGAACCAAGTCAGGTGATGGTGGCGCAGTCAGAGACAGAGGCAGGCGGATCTCTGAATTTCAGGCTAGCCTGGTCTACAGAGTGAGTTCCCAACTAGCAAGTGCTACTCAGAGGAACCCTGTCTCAAAAAAATCAGGAAAAAAAAAAAAAAAAAAAAAAAAAAAGGAAAAAGGAAAAAGAGGAGAATCCAATCCAGTCCTGAAAGTTGTTCTTAAACTTTCACGTATGTGTAGCAGTGTGTACATGAACACAAATGAGTAAAATAAATGCAGTAAATTGTATATGTATTATATATATATTATATATGTGTGTGTGTATGTGTGTGTGCATATTTATATATATGTATATATATATATATATACACACATTTTAATAAATTACATATCTATATCATCTTACCTTGACTCTGGACAAATATCTTTCCAGTAGCATGTGGCTTTTGGAAGGGAAAGAAAACAGGGGCAAAGTTAATTTGATGATCCAACCATTCTGTGCTTTTTAGAAATCAGGATAATTAAATACCCTTTTGGGAACATCTCTAAGTCGCTCACATTGGCTTCTTAGGGGTACAGAATTACTTCTACCCATAATGGTTTTTGCATCTCTGAGAAGAACAAAGACAGCCCACTTAATGCCGCTTCATGGGGGATTGGCATCAGGAGAGTCCTGAGGCCAAGGAGCGCAGCTGCTGCTGAAGCCAGGGAGGGTGCCGAAGTACCATTCTTAGTACTTTGTCCCTAACTGGAAAAGGGTATTCCCCATCCCTCGGGACCAAGGAGGAAGAGGAGGGGGGAGGAAAGGAGAGAGGATGGGGAGAAAGAAGGATAGGGGAAGAGGGAGAGGGAGGTAGGGGAAAGGAGAGGGAGGAAAGGAGAGACCCAACGGACACAAGTGGTGGCCAATGAGAAGAACAGGTTGACCTCAAGACTTGGTAGTGCCCTCAGTGTTCCTGGAATCCAGGCAGTGGTCCCCTCTTCTGCTCCCTCCCTCCTTTTCTTCCCCTTCCCTCCTGTCTTCTCCCCCTCCTTGTCTCCTTCAGCCCCATCCTTCGTATTCTTCCTTCTCCTCCCCCCCCCATTTTGTGCCAAGATGCTAACTGCTTATTCTTTGTGGTATTCCCAGGTGAAAGGGCACAAAGCCACTAGAGAGCAAAGAGTCCAGTTCTCCAGGTCCTGGAGACACAAGGCTAATAATTGTGTCAATGACACATTTGAACACAGAGGTGAGAGCTGGAAAGGGACAGGAAATCCTCTATCCCATGGCAGAGGGGACTCAAAGATGCCAACAGTTAATGGTCAAAATAAAGTTCTTTTGGAGGTGAACTGTGGGGGCCAACACTGTAACTTTTTATCTTGTAACCTAAATATTCTGATGAAGGCAGGCACACACACACACACACACACACACACACACACACACACGGGTGCCACTGCTAACAAGGCAAGACCCTGACATTGTAAGGGATATGCATTCTGGTCCTCAACCTAATTTGTCAGTTTGGGGAACAGCCCAGCCAGGCAGACATTCAATGGGAAGATGGGGAGCCAGCCATGGGTCAGAGGAAGAGCAGCTTCCATTCCAGAACATGGAGGTTGCCTTCAGTTTGGATTTGGCATCAGCATCACCTTTTTAACCTAATCCTTTGAACCATTGGCCCACTAAAGCCTTGACTGTCCTATGCAAAACACTGTAGGGCAGATCCTGGTGTCCCTGAGGGAATCCCTTGAAATCCCAAGCCTTCAAAGTGGAAGTATTTTTTCCTGAAAATCACTTCTCAGCTAAGCATAGTGGTGTTGTGCTGTAGTTTTAATCATTCTGGAGGCTAAAAACAAGAGGATTGCCTTGAGTTGGAGGCCAGCCTGGGCTACAGTGAGACCCTGCTTCAAAACAAAACAAAATGAAAATCTCCTATTTAAAGAAGCTAATAGAAACCTTTCGTAAAACAAAACAAATACATAAAATGAGGAACAGAGATAGACAAGTTACCTTGTGGCACACTAGCACATAAATTTGAAAATACTACCAAGCTCAAAGGCATGCTAAGTAAACCCACAGCGTGGGCTGTGGTCTTGGGGGACTGAGTGCTTCAGGGCAAGAACTTTCTCAGGACTGACTTTCCTGCCCATGTCCTGTGTGCCTGACTTGTCTCCATAGACCTTGTGCCATGCTCTGAGCCCAGCTTTTGCCAGGATTTCAGGCCCCTCGTCTTTTGGCTCAGGACCTCTCTACATTGGATTTCATATGTAGGACCATATTCTCATCCCAAGCTTTTTGTTTGTTTAAGATGGGTCCTCCTGTTGCTGAGGCTGACCTCAAATAAGCTAGGTAGCTGAGGGTGACTTTGGATCTCGGATTCTCCTCTTCTGAGTACTTGTATTGCAGAGATGCATCACCAAGGTTCTGTGGAACAGGGGATCGAACTTGGAGTTGTGGGACTGGGGATGGAACTCTGGGTTGTGTGCATACTACCTACTGAATAACATCCAAGCCAAGTTATAAATGCCTTCTGAGTCTCACCCGTGTATGTTTTCATGGTAAAACCCTGCCTTGCTTTACAGTGTTATTTTCTGTAATTACAGTGTTTTATACAAAGTAATTTCTGCTTAGAAAGGGATTTTATATGAAAAAGAATAGGAGAAGGGTGAATAACTTCCCTGAGAAGTGCCTATCTGATCAGCATTGATACAGTGTGTAAATGTTTTCTGTAAAGGGTGGTGATTTCTTCTAAGCAATTTGGAATTATTAGATACATTGTTTTAAGAAAGCTACACTCAGAGCCGGGTGGTGGTGGCACACACCTTTAATCCAATCCCAGCACTTAGGAGGCAGGGGCAGGTGGAGCTTTGTGAGTTCGAGAACAGCCTGGTCTACAAATCAAGTTCCAGGACAGGCTCCACAGCTACAAAGAGAAACCTTGTGTGGAAAAACAAAAACAAACAAACAAAAGCCACAATCAGGAGTCATTTTTGTAATTTCAAACTGAAAACTGAACCTTAGATTCTGCATCTATTATAAGAATTTTTAATGTAGTTTCCACCTGCAGAAAGTTTAATGTCAGAAAATCAGCCTTCTATTATATCAACCAAAGAGTGGGAGATCTTCTTGCAAGCCTTGGCCTGTGCTTTATTCTCCTTTGTATTTTCCCTTATCCTGTAATGCTCGCAGTCAGGGACAAGTGCTGGACCACTGAGCCATACCTCCACCCCTCATCAAGTGCTGTGACAGCACCAAGCTAAGCCCCAGCCCCTCCTTGGTGGATTCTGCAGTCAACCCCATCCCCAACCCTATCATCCCCTCCATGCCCCCTTTCAGTTTTATTCTATAAAATGGGTCTCTTATAGAGACATGCTTTATTTCAGAGCATGTACCAAAAAGGACGCTGGCTTCTCATGTCAAATAAGTAGTCAAATTAAGTAATAAGTTCTCACGGGTATTAAAATGGAATCTTAACTCTCACTCGCTTCCTCTTAAAATACCACATAAAGCAGCCTTGGTTCTTAACCTTTTAGGTTATCATTAGATCCCAGAGAAATAGCCCTGAGAGATGAGTGAACACACAACATTCACCAGTCTCAAGGTACTGCCATTCCTTCCCATCATAGAGTGCAGATTAATTAATTTTGGGTAAAAAGGGGAACTAAAAGGGTCATCTTGACTTTTTACACTTGTATTAGAAAGTGTATTTCTCTTGAGAACCGTAGCAAGGTTGGGCTGGGATTAACATGTCACTACACCCAACTTAATTACCTTTCTAGAAATAAAGGTGGAGAAATGCAGGTTTAAGTTTTGAACCGGATTCTTTGCTTAAAACCACACTTAAATACATTATCGCTGTGGCCATACATATTAACTCCTTTTTAAAAGTGTGTAGGGGCAGAGAGGGAGCAGGAAAGGGGGAGGAGAGGAAGAGGGAGAGAGAAACCATGTGCATGCATTTCCCAAAGAGGCCAGAAGAGGGCATCAGATCTCCTGGGACAGCAGGGAGATGGTTGTAACTTGCAATATGGGAATTGAACTTGGGTCTTCTGTAAAAGTATCTGGTGCTCTTAACCACTGAGCCATCTTTGCAGCCTCCATATTCTCTCTTTTGAAGTTAGGCATGGTGCTATGGTAGTGACTTCAAAACCTTTAATCCCAGCAATCAGGAGTCAGAGGCAGGTCCATCTCTTTGAGTTCAAAGTCAGCCTGTTCTACATAATAAGTTCTAGGCTAGATAGGGCTACATGGTGAGACTCTACTTCAGAAAAGAAAAGGAAAAGGAGGAGGAAGAGGAAGAAGAGGAGGAGGAAAGAAACCACAAGAGCACCAGAAGCAGGCCCTGTAATCTTCTTAATCTAGGATTACTGATATTGAATCACACTTTGGTAATAATTAGGCAAGATTAACATGGTTACAGCCTGAGTCAAGCCTGCTTCCAAAACAGAGAACATAAAATTAAAAACCAAAGCTGGCTTTTCCTCTGGGAAGATTAAGACTGCACTGCTCAAAACACATTATCACCATTCACGGTGCATGAATCAAAGTCTCTCCTCCAGAGTCGGAAAGAATTCCATAAATACAGCTGAGTAAGAAACCTTTATATTATTTATACATGTTTGTATCTGAAAAAAATCAAATCAGATAAAGGTATTGGGCTGAACTTTATTGGAAAATCCACCCACCGATCCTGTACAAAAATGTGTATTAAAAACAACTTCACTTTCAAATTTAATAACTATCCCCAGCCTCTAAGCTATGAAAACAAGTTAGTCTCATCTTTTATTAGGTTTATGCCAGTGCCTCCTATATCTGGGACAAAGCCATATAAGCCACCTCACAGTGTTTTCTTGCCTTGATTGTTTATTATTATTATTTTAAGATTTATTTTGAATTATATGTACTATGAAGATGTGTATGTGCACATGAGTGCAGGTGCCCATGGAGACCAGAAGAGGGCATCAGATCTCCTAGAGCTGGACTTTTAGGCGACTGTGAGCTACTTGTTTGTTGGATCTGGGACCTGAACAAAGGTCCTGTGTGAGAGCAATATAAGCTCTTAATTGCTGAGCCATCTTACAGTCCTCACTTTTTAATTTAAAAAGATTTGGTTTATGTTTATTTATTTGACTTTATGTGCATGAGTGTTTTACCTCTATGTAATTGTACCACATGCATGCTTGAGGCCTGCAGATGTCATAAGAGAGCATTTGATCCCTGGAACTGGAGTTAAAGTTGTTTGTCAGCTGCCATGTGGGTGCTGGGAACCAAACCTGGGTTTTCTGGAACTGGAGTAAGTGCTCTTAACCAGTGAGCTGTCTCTCTAATCCCTTGATGTTTGCTTGTTTATTCAAATGCCTACTATTCTTGGAAAAGGACTGTCCAAGCACAGATCTGGCAGATCCAGAATTTATTTATATATATATATATATGTATGTATGTATGTATGTATGTATATATTATACATATATGTGTGTGTATTAATATATTATATATATTATATTATACATATATATTTTATGGTAGCATACACACATGATAGTGTTTATATATATATATATATGGTAGCATATACATACACATACACACATACATATATATATATGTGTATATATATATATAAAAATAAAATACACATACATTCAGTAGCATATACATATCTGAGGCAGGTGTGGTTGTACATGCTTTCATTCCCGGCATTTGGGAGGCAGAGGCAGGAGAATCTCTGTGAGTTCCAGGCCAGCCTGGTCTATATAGTCGGACACTGTTATACACATATATTAGTGCATCTCTTGATTATCATGAAAGAAGCATCTTTTTGCTGTGGGTCATGATTGACACATAGACTCACAACTGGCCACTGTGTGGAGAATGAGATTGGAGCACTCAGCCCTAAATGGCACAGTTACATCACATTCCCTCTTTCCCAGGCTCAGGCATCATTGCAGAAGGGGAGGTAGGAAGACTGTAAGAGCCAGAGGCAATAGGTGACTACAAGAAAACAATGTTGTCTTACTCAACAGGGCCGGTGCATATATTAACTCACAGCAGTTGAGACAGTGTGTGTAAGACACATGCAAGCTAAAGCCAGAAAAAAACTCAGCATGGGGACTGGAGAGATGGTTCAGTGGTTATGAGCACAGACTACAATTCCCAGCACCCATATGACAGCTCACAACTGTCTTTAACTCCAGTTCTAGGGGATCTGATAGCCTTACACAGATATACATGCAGCAAAACTCAATGCACATATAATAAAAATAAATTAAAAGTAATCTCAGAATGGAGGGGGAGGAAGGCACAAAGTCTCACCCTCAGCTGAGGAGTTAGTTACTGGCAACTGGTGGCATCTGGGAGATGACCACACTTCAGGGTAGGTCCCACATGAAAGAGTATGTGTACAGCCAACTGGACTCAGGTGGTTTAAAAAACAAAAGAAGACAAAAAGTCGTGTGGGTAGGGAAGGAAGGTAGATCTGGGAGGAGGAGTTGCGGTGGGGGGGGTGAACATATTCAATAACATTGCATGGGGCTGGAGAGATGGCTAAGAACACAGACAGTTTTTCTTGCAGAGGTCCGGGATTCAATTCCCAGCACCCCCATGATGGCTTATAACTGTCTGTAATTCCAGCTCCAGGAGTCTCAGACACCAGACAAGCATGTAGTAGACATGCAGGAAAAAAAAAATCATAAACAACTTTTAATTTTCTAAAGATGTTCATACATTATATGAAATTCTCAAAGAATTAATTTAAGAAAAGTGCTAAACATCACTAAACTTTTTAAGGGTATCCACACTGGAGAAAGGCAGCCCACAACTGTGCCATATAGCCATGGTCCAATAGACTTCCTCCCTGTCCCCAAGCCCTACTAAAAAGATATCAAAAGAACACATACCCACTGCACCTGCGCTGTGTCCTTCATTGCCTCTGTGAAAGCCACGGCGAACCTAATCAATGGATAGAGATAACAGTCAATTAGACTGGAATTCAATTAACACAACTCCGAGGCAGCACTTGCCAACAGCCCATGAGAGACGGACAGGGCACAGTTCCATCCACTGTCATTACTCCTGGTCACTGCCCATTAGGCCCCATCTCCACCCACACCAGAAAAAGTTGTGGGAGGGAAATAAACTCAACGATGCTCAAAAATCTTACTTCTCTCGTTCCTTTAAAATAATGCTGGAAAAAAGCAGAGATTAAAAACCAAAGGCCAGAGCTGGGGCAATGGCTCAGTGGTTAAGAACACTTACTGCTCTTCCAGAGGACCTGGGTTCAGTTCCCAGCATGCGACTAGCTCCAGGGGACCTGACACCCTCTTTGACACCTATGCAAGCAGCATGCACACTAACATACATTTTTAAAAAATCAAGAGTCAGAAAACAAAATTCAGTAGGTGGCACAGTTAATATATGATGAGTACTCCAGGGCAAGGGGCACATGGCACATTTGTGTGACCCAGGAGTGCTATGGGTACTACAGTGCCTACATCTGCCAAGGATGCCTACATGATGCTGGGAATACATACATCTTAAAACCATGTGGTACACACACACATACATACAGGCTTATGTATACAAATAAGTTTGAAAACACAATAGAAGAAAAAGTCAGCAAGCCCTAAGGGGTTCCAGTGCTAAGAAAAATGGGGGACCTCTATTTAAGACTCCCAAAGATCACTCATGAGGAAGAGGCTTGCTGCCAAGCCTCATCACTGCAGTTTGATCCTCTGGGATTCACATGGTAGAAGGAAGGAACCAACTCCCACAAGTTGTTCCCTGACCCCCAACATGAGAGCTGTAGCATGCTCACACCACACACACACACACACACACACACACACACACACACACACACACTGTATTTAAAGAGATTGCCTTTGCCAGGAAAAGAACATTAACAGATACGTTTTTACAGACTGGCATAGAACATTTCTTGCACAGGAATTGTATAAAGATGTCCCTTTTTCTACAAAACCAGACGAGAAAACCCACACCTAAGTTATCATGGCATCTGACGGTAGCTTTAAGGATTGGGCACTTTTGTGATTCTGTAACAGTTACACAGAAAGATGTCAGTGTTGGGATCTAAGTGCCATGGACACTCTGTCAAATCACCATTTTGACAGGATGAGGAATCATCTAAGAGCATATCTATGAGGGAGTGTCTAGAATAGGAACTGAGTTGGGAAAACTCACCCTAGCTGTTGGCAGCACCATGCCAAGGGCTAGGGCCATGGGCTTAATTAAAGGGAACATAGGCCGGGCGTCAACATCCATTTTTCTCTGCTTCCTGACTTGGAGACACTGCATGACCAGCTGCCTCTCATGGCTGCTGCCATGCCTCCCTTGCAATGATGGACAAGATGGTACTCTCAAACTATGAGCTACACAATTTTTGGGTTTTTTAAGATGGGGTTTCTCAATGTAGGCCTGGACTGGCTTGAACTTAAGAGATCCTCTGCCTCTGCCTCCAGGGTGCTGGGATAAAAGGTGCCCATCACCACATCCTTCCTTAAGGTGCTTTTGTCAAGTATTTTGTCAAAGCCATGAAGAAAGTAACTGTCCTGTCTAGTTTAATGTCAACTTGACGTAAGCTAGAGTCATCAGAGAGAAGTGACCCTTAGTTGGAAAAATACCTCCATAATCACTTAATTAGTGATTGATGTGGGAAGGCCCAGAACATTATGGGTGGTGCTATCCCTGGGCAGGTGCTATAAGAAAGCAGGCTGAGCAAGCCATGGGGACCAAGCCAGTAAGGAGCACCCCTCTATGGCCTCTACATCAGCCCCTGCCTCCAGGTTTCTGCCCTGCTTGAGTTCCTACCCTGACCTCCTTTGATGATGAACTGTGATGTGGAAGTATAAGCCTAATAAACCCTTTCTTCCCAACTTGCTGTTTCATCACAGCAATAGTAACCCTGACTAAGGCAAAATCAAATATGCAAGTCACTGAGTAGCAACAATTCAAGATAAAGAATGCAGAGCTGAGACTTGCATTACACACTGACACATATCCAAAGTGCAATGAGTATAACTGTACAGGCAATGAGGATAAGGATGGGAGACCAAAAGTGGACACAAGGCCAGGAGCAGGCTCAAGCATACCCAAGAACGTAACACACCACAATGGCAGAGAAGAGATTAAATAAGCCGAAAAGGCTCCTACCCTCCTGCACAGGATATATCTAAAAAGTTATGATAATGACAAAAGACTGGGGCTGGCTGGAGAGATGACTCAGTAGTTAAGAGCACTGACTGGCTGCTTTTCCAGAGGTCCTGAGTTCAATTCCCAGAACCAACACAGTGGTTTACAACCATCTGTAATCCAGTTCCAGATGATCTGACGCCCTCTTCTGGCCTTGAAGAACACTGCACACATGTGGTGCACATACTCACATGCAGGAAAACACCCAATTACATGAAATAAAAATAAAGGAAAAGCATTTTAAAATAAACAATAACAAGTGATAAGTATTATTTTTCAAAAATGGACCCACAAACAAAATGATCCTAATTTTCAGATATACTTCATTTTTATATTTATAATTACCAAGTACTTTCTATGCCATAATTCTTAGAAGCTGACAATCTAATCCAAAATTAAATCAAATACTGTACTACAAGGGATGGAAGCTTAAGATAATGAAAAAATTCACACAACCACTGTGGAAAAAAATATACCAATTTAAAGTGTTTGATTAAAAATGAAATGGTCATTATAAAGCCAGACAAGCCCAATACCTCGTTTATTGAAACATGAGCTGTGTGGAGTCAGACAAGAAATCCATGATTCATGTGTCTCTCTTGCCCACTGGCCTCAATCAATACCCTCCAAATAAAAAAATCAATATTTGTTTTAATAACAATGCAATAAATAACCCTAAAGGTAATACGGTGAAATGGATTTATTCAATAATGTTTCTAGTAAATAGAATTACTTTTCTTCCATAGGACTGTGCAGCATGAGCCATGTAAATAGCAAGGTAATATGTTTTTAGAATGTGCAAGAAGTAGTAAGGAATATTCACTAATGGGTCACCTTTTTTAAAGGTGTGTGTGTGTGTGTGTGTGTGTGTGTGTGTGTGTGTGTGTTTGCACTGTGTGAGTGCAGTGCCTAAGGAGGACAGCAGAGGGCATTTTCCCCTGGAGCTTGAGTTACACTCCAGTTATATCAGGAACTTCCCTGAGTACAGGGAAGATATGGTGGTTTGAAAGAAAACACCCCCCAAAGGGAGTGGCACTATTAGGAGGTGTGGCCTTGTTGGAAGAAGTGTGTCACTGTGGGGGTGGGTTTTGAGGTCTTTTTCTCAAGACTCACTCAGTGTGACAGTCAGTCCTCTTCCTGCTACCTTCTGGTAAAGATGGAGCACTCTAAGCTCCAGCACCATGGCCACCTGCACACCACCATGCTCCCCGCCATAAAAACCTCTGAAGTGTAAGTGAGCCACCCCAGTTAAATGTTTTCTTTATAAGAGTTGCCATGGTCATGGTGCCTTTTCACAGCAATAAAACCCTAAAACAGAAAAGGGAACTCAGATCCTCTGCAAAGGCAGCAAGTGGTGATGTTGTTGTTGCTTTTGGGAGAGGGTTGTCTGTTTGTTTGGGGGGTTGTTTTTTGGGAACTTTTTGTTTGTGTTTTGGGCATTTTGGTTTTTTGGAGATGGGCTTCTCTGCACAGTTTTGTTTTGTTTTGTTTTGTTTTTAAGATTTATTTTTACTTTCTGTGTATGAGTGTTTTTTCCTGTGTGTATGTATGTGTACCATGTTCACACATGGCCCAGGCAGGTCAGAGGTGCCAGCCACAGCTAGTATCTGGGGCAGGAGTTCCCACACTATCCCCTCAGCACTAATGAATGTGTCATCTTGGAAGAGCACCACCTACAGGCAACATCTTGAAGGATCTCTAATCCTGGATGGCCGCGAGTAATGTGTAAAAAGAGGACTAAGCCAGAGTACAGAATCCCCGTGGTGACTGTTCTCCTAAATGGTGTACAGAGCTCATAAGGTGACACAGACAGGAGCCACGGTGAATAGTGAAGAGACATACTAAAGAATAGTTACAAGGACGACCCTTGGGCTAGGAAACCTAGCACAGGCCTGCCTCCCTCTTTTAAAGCAGCCCTGCACTGTGGTGCATTCCTGTATTCCCAGAGCTTAGAAGGTGAGGGCAGGAGCAGAGTTCAAGGTCATCCTCAACTACCCTCAGTGGTCAAAGCTAGCCTGGGCTACAAAAGACCCTATTTCAGCAATGCTGTCTTCCTACCACACAGAACCTTCTAGAATGCTCTTGTGATATTAACATTAGGCTAGGTATAATGTCTTATTTGGTTACAGTGAGAATTTGTAGCAAAATAAAACTATATGGAAGGATGGTTTTGTTTTGTGGACTTGTTTTGAGACAGGAGATCTCTCTATGTGGCCCTGACTGTCTGGGAACTTGCTGTGTAGACCGGGCTGGCCTTCACTCTCAGATGTCCACCTGCCTCTGCCTCCCAAGTTCTGGAGCCACTGTACCTCACAAGGGCTTTATTATTGACGGTGAGAATTTGTTTTCCCTGGTAGGATAGAAAGCAGAGTGCCCATGGCCTTACCTGGCTTCCTCCAGGACTCTCCCCATGACTTCATTTTTTTCTTTATGATTGGCATCTTCATTTAAATCAGTTCCACCAAAGATGACCCCAAAAGGAATGCCATGACCTGCAAAATGATGACAAGTGGAACAGACTTGGACATCAGGAGGTGCCCCTTGACAACTGGCCCGCGGCCATGAAGTTCCCTTAACACATGGCTGTATGGCTTGTCTGTCTGTCTATCTGTCTGTCTATCTTTCTGTCCATCTGTCTGATTGACTGTCTGTCTTGAAAGAGAGCTCTATAGCCCAGGCTGGCCTGGAACTCTCAATTTTCCTGCCTCAGCATTCCCAGGGCAGGAATTGCAGTGTGTGTGTGTGTGTGTGTGTGTGTGTGTGTGTGTGTGTGTGTGTGTGTGTGTGGTGTGTGATATGTATGGGGGTATACACAGTGCTAGTGTAGAGGTCAGAGGGCATCTTCCTGGAGTTAGCTCTCTCTACCTCTTTGTGTGTTCTATGAAGTGAACTCCAGTGCCCCGGCTTGTCTCAAAATTACCTTCACCTAGTGAATCATTTCACTGGCCCTGTGTTGTTTTTGAGGCAGACTGGCCTTGAACGTATTTCCCTAAAGATGACTTTGAACTCTTGACCCTCAGGCTTCCACTCAGGGTGAGCCAGAGGGCTGAGATTTCCCATGAGCACTGCGGAACCCTGTTTACATCCCTCTATAGACTGAAACCAAGGCTTTGTGCATGCTGGACAAACATTCTGCCCCCTGAGCCCCAGCCTCTTAAGTGCGGTGTGTTCTGGTGGCAGTTTCACTCCGTTCAACTCTCAAGAGTGATCGCAGATGGCACTGTTAGAAACCTGCTCTGAGGGGCCATAGGGATGGCTCTGCAGACAAAGGTAAATGCCACCACGCTTGACACTCTTGAGTCCTATCTCTCGGACCCACATGGTAGAAGGAGAGACTTCCACAAAGATTTCACCCCAGCATCACCATGACCACACCCACCAACACTGTGACCACACCCACCACCGTCAACAACACTGCACATACACAAATAAATGCATGTATAAAGAGAAATCGACACCAAGATTAATCATGCCAGGTCTCACCCGTGGTTGTCAGGACTAGTTTTCAGATTAATTTGCTTTCCATTTTAACCACAGAAAAATATCATTCACCACCATTTATCAAAGCCAAGCTCACCCATCCTGGGAAGTATTCAAAGAGCTTAAATGAAACTGATGGCAAGAGAGGGCCCTGTTTATCATCCTCAGCCACAGCAGCTCAGGAAGCCTTGAGGAATAGGCAGTGCTATGTTGACACTAGTACCTGGAGGTCACCAGGCATGGGCCCTCCCTATGATAACCAGCTCCTAGAGCCAGCCATTAAAACTGCAGGACTCTGAACAGGATCCAAGTGGCATCCCTAGCCCTGTATGCAAGCACAACATTCTGAACTGAACTTGCCACTGGTTGACCTAGAACTCAAGAGATCCATCTGCCTCTGCTTCTGGATTGCCCCATCACATCCAGTCTAAAAGTATCCTTGAATTCAGTTCATCACATATGGGCCATGGTGGCACATGTCTTTAATGCCAGCACTCTCTGAGTCCCAGATCAGACTGGTCTACAAAGGCAGTGACTTCCAGGTCAGCCTGTCTCAAAAACAAAAACAGTTCATCACACACTGTGACTGAGACAAAACATGGAAATAAGGTGTCATCATTCAGAGCTAAAGAGGGGTCAGCCATTCTTCCAGAGGACCCAGGATTCCTAGCGCCTATTTGCAATTCAACAGTCTGCGGCTTCAGTTTCAGGTACATGGATGCCCTCTTCTGGCATCCGGAAGGCACAGCATGCAAATAGTGCAGACAAAACACTCACACATAAAAAATAAATAACAGGGCTAGAGATGGTTCAGCAGTGAACAGCATCGGCTGCTCGTGCAGAGGACCCAGGTTCCATTCCCAGCACCTACATGTCAGCTCACAGCTGTCTGTGATTCCAGTTCCAGAGATCTACCTTCTTGTAGATTCTGTGGGCACCTGGAATACATATCTGTGCATGCATGCATTCCAAACATCCACACATGTGAAACTTTTTAATCAGAAAAGCAATAAACATTATATTTAAAAGGTGTCATCACTCATAACTGATTGTTGTACGAGACCTGGCAAAGATGAAGGATTTTTTTTTTTTAACTTTATTTCTTGTAAGAGCAGAAAACTGAAGCTTAGGAGAATTGTCAGGAGATCAAGCCCAGTCTGGGCTACATAATGAGTTCTAGGCTAGCCTGGGATATAAAATGTAAGACCCTGTCTTTGAAAGCCTGAGTATGTTGGTGCCCCACTTTAACCCCAGCATTTGGGAAGAGGATGAAGAAGACCAGCAGGTTAAGGTCAACCTTACATAAATCGTGAGTTCAAAGCCAGCCTGGACTACATAAAACCCTGTCTCAAAAACCCAAAACAACAAAAATGACAGACAACTGTGAGCCAGGGAGATGGCTCATTGGGTAAAGGTGCTTGTCACCAAGCCTAATGACCTGGGTTCCATTCTTGGGGTTAACATGATAGGAGAGAACAGACACCACACAGTTGTCCTCTTACCTCCCACATACCTGCTGTGACACACGCACACCCTGTGAAATAGAGCAGTATAATTTAAAACTTAAAGACATCTGAGTTGGAGCCATACCCAATCATAGGATGTCATAACAGACTGGTTAATCTTGTTCTTGGCCACCTGACCCTAACTGCTTCCTTATTAGGTCCCAGCCTAAGGCATATTCTTAAGATTTCATTAAAGCTCTGGAGCCTACATCAAACTAACTTGCAATTTGTCTGTTTTATATGCTAGTTAAAGCATATGAAAGGGTTCCCAGAATGCACCCTGCACAGTGCCCCAGCTATATTCTGTCTTAGATAAGGACAACTATAAAATATATTTAAAAATACATTGACTTGTACACAGAAAAAAACAAAACAAAAAATCTTTTATACTAATCTCCAAGAGGGGAGAATAAATTCCTTGAGTTAGTTCAGAGTCCATATAGTTTGAAGCATAAAGAAAAGTGGGCATTGAACTAGTCATTTCCTTCAAGGTTTATTTCTTTATGCATTTTATGCATATGGATGTTGATGCTGTGTCTGCATTTGTGTGTCTACATCAGAAGAGGGCATGGGAGCCCATGAGACTACAGGTATAGATGTAGATGGTTGTGAGCTGCCATGTGGGTGCTGGGAACTGAACTGAGGTCCTCTGGAAGAGCAGCCAGTGCTCCTAACCACTGAGACATCTCTCCAGCCTTGAGCCAGTTATGGATATATCCGCACTGTAGACAGGTCATGTCTACACTGATGCAGCCAGTATCTATGCCCCTGTCATCTGTGTATTCTACTGAGAAATTTTACTTGCCTGATCACTCCTTTGGCTATCATTTGCTCTTTAAAAAGGGCTGACAAGATGGCTCATCTGGTAAAGGCACGTGGCACTGAGCCTGTCTGAGTTTGATCCCTACACCCTAACTCCCCCAATTTGTCTTCTGACCTCCATACACATGCATGGTATACAAGCATGCATGGGAGTGCACACATACCCAGAGAGAAATAAAAAAATGTAATTTAAGTCAGGCAGCAGTGGCGCATGCCTTTAATCCCAGTATTCAAGAGGCAGAGGTAGGCAGATCTCTGTGAGTTCAAGGCCAGCCTGGTCTATAAAGTGAGTTCCTGGACAGGCTTCAAAGCTACACAGAGAAACCCTTTCTCCAATAAACTAAACAAAACACAAAAACAACAACAACAAACAAAACAAAACTGTAATGTAAAATAGTTAAAGAGTAAAGGGGGAGGGGCTGAAGAGATAACTCCGTTGTGAACAACACTGAATGTTCTTGCAAAGGATCCAGGTTTGATTCCCAGCACCCTGGAGGCTCACAACCATCCATATCTCCAGTTTTAAGGGGGTATCTGACACCATCTTAAGGCCTCTGGGGATCCCAGACACACAGGTGGCCCACAGACATACATGCAGGCAAACATTCATACACATAAAATAATGTAATTTTTGTTCCTGTTGAGACAGGGTCTCTCTATGTAGCCCTGGGTGTCCTGGAACTTGCAGCATAGACCAGGCTGCCTTAAAACACTCAGAGTTCTTCCAGTCTCTGCCTCTCAAGTGCTGAGATTAAAAGCATGCGCCACCATGTCCAACTAAAAACAAATTTTAAATATTAAAAACAAAAAAAGCAAAACACACAAGTCCCATGGTCATATGTAGATACAGTTAATACACAAATTCAGCTGGGGGGGGGGTGCAATTCCATTGGCAGAATGTTTGCCTGGCATGCACACAAAACCCTGAGTTCGATCCCCAGCACTGAAATGGATGCAGGTGGAGGGGATGCATACCTATAATCCCAGTACTAGAGACATGGGGGCAAGAGGATCACAATTTTCATCCTTAGCTATATCTAAACTGTGAGAGCAGCCTGGATTTCATGAGACCTTGTCTCAAAGTAAGCAATAAAATGACAATATGCCAGACTAAGTGATGCTTGACTTCCGTGCGGAGAACAGTTAGAAGTTAACAGATGAAAAGTAGCGTGGAGTACCCCAAGCTCAGTGTTGCTTCAGCATTGGTTAAATCGGGCATCGTTTTTTTTTTTTTTTTTTTTTTTTTTTTTTGTTTGTTTGGTTTGGTTTTGCCCCTCCCTCTTCAGCAGGCTTTCGTCAGTGAGGCCTATTTCCTCCCAACTCAGAAGCAAACACAACTGTGACATCTTCATGTTTATTTGAAGCAGAGGTCAAGAGTGCTAGGATTAAGTGTATAAATTAAAAACCAAGCAAACAAGCAAACAAAACAAGCCTGGTAGTGGTGATGCGTGCCTTTAATCCCAGAACTTGGCGGGGGCAGAGGCAGGTGGATCTCTGTGAGTTCAAGGCCAGCCTGGTCTACAGACCAATTTCCAGGAGAGCCAGAGCTGTTACACAGAAAAACCCTGTCTCAAAAACAAACAAACCAAAACCAAAAAAACCCAGCAACTGGACCAGAGTGAATCGGAGCAGGTCCTTGCCTCTCCTGAACTTTGATAGCAATTTTGTCAGTGTTGATCAAAACAAAATATTGCACAGCCCTTTGGCCTCAAGGCTAACCTAGGGGCTAGTAGACAGCTCACCATGACTTCTACATGGTGGGGAGAAAGAGCAACTCCTACAAGTTGCTGTCTGGCCTTAGCATGCACTATGGCATGTGTGCTGTGCTACCCCCACCATCACAAAAGACAAACATAAATTAATGTAAGGAAATAATGAAATAACGTAGAGAAGCAATTGGGAAAAAGACACCAACCTCAAGCCTACAGGAACCCAAATGTACATGTACATACATATATGTACACCACACACACACACACACACACACACAGAGAGAGAGAGAGAGAGAGAGAGAGAGAGAGAGAAGAGTAAAGAGTGAAGGATGGGTGATGTGTACATATGCTGTTGTGGGTGAGAATCTTCCGTTTTATCAGGTGCAGAATATGTATGTACATGCCCTCAGTTACGCTATTTGTAGCTGTAGCCATGCATAAATATGTGTACAAGTGTAAGCCATGGCCAAACTCCAGGGTGGTCATCTCCTCATGCTGATGTTCAGCTTAGTAGCTGCCCCCTAGATGTTGACAGGATACTATGGAATTCACTGGATGACTTTAATTTTCATTTTTTGTCATGAGGTGTCATAAGGTTGTCCTAAAACTTATATTTGTACTTGCCTACGTTGGCCTCAAAATTGGAATCCTCCTGCTTCTACTTCCTGAGTGCTGGGAACTATAGGCACCTCTCCCTATGCCTGGCATGTAAGATGATTTCAGAGGCTGAGACATAGAAGGGAAAGTGGCTTCTAATTTGGTCTCCCTAGAATGTTCTTTACAGGAGGAGCTGGCCACTATGTCTAAAGCTACTCAAACCACCTGTGATGGTTCATTGTAATTGTCAATTTGACACAACTTATAATTACTGGGCAGAGAGTCTCAGTGAGGGTTTGTCTAGGGCAACTTGGCCTATGGGCATGTCTATGTTGAGATTGTCTTGGTTTAATTGATGTGGGAAGACCCAGCCCACTGTAGGTATTACCATTCCCTAGACAGGGAATCCAGAATTGCATACAAATATGGAAAGGGGGCATTTGTAGGAAATGTGCTTTCATTCATTTCTCTTGACTCTGGATGTAACATGACTGGCTGCTTCAAGTTCCCAGTTTGACTTCCCCTGGATGATGGACTGCAAGCAAACAAACAAACAAACAAAAAGACCAAAACCCCTTTCTGTCTTAAATTTGCATTCGTTAGGGTGTCTTATCATAGCAACAGGGAAATAAACTGAAACATACCACCCATGGAGAAGTCCAGGTAAGGAAGAAAGAAGCCTCCTGGCCACAACTGAGAGAATGAGCTACCATAGACACAGGTGTTCTGACCCAGGGCAACCACGGCTTTGTAATAGACTCTGTGCTGTGAATACAGGCATGTACCACAACAGCTGGCCTATCTGTTCTGAAGTGGCAAGGTTACCAAATTTAGAAAATCGCTTAATAGAAAAAATGGAGACCTTCCATCATCCCTCAGTTTGTCTTTGGGTCACAGGGTACTGTTCTTGGCATCTGGTATTTTTTCAGCATTCCCCCTGTGTGACTTTGAAAGCTTTGAGAGGGATACCTTGCAGAAGTCTGCCTCCTCGGTAGAGGTGTAGGGCTAGGGCTGCTTCCATGTTCTCAGTTGTGATGAGCTTGGCAACATCAGATGGGCTTTCAAAGTCAAAGGCATCTCTCAGAAGGCACATGTGGCCCGCAGCTTCCAGGTGATCTCTTAAATTAAAAACAGAGAGAGAGGGAAAAGTTGGAGTTGCCATTTTGGTTGAGGTTTTAGAGTCGGTCTGTCTGGAAACAGATGGAAGCTGAGGTGGTGATAGTAACCATCCATTCCCCAGCCTGCAAGACCTCAGACTGTGGCTGGGATCAAGGCCAATGCAATCACAACTTTGTGACACATCGAGCCTCTTGCCACTCTCAGTGACACTGAACTACCTCAAAGCTCTATCTGCACCTAATTCCAGTGTCCTTTGTTCACTGTCCTGTCACTCTAGATGGTGCCCAGGATGCATCGTCTAGTTGCTGCTACTCATTTCTTTTACATTTCTTTATTTCATTTTATGCATATGTGTGTCTTGCCTGCTTGTGTGTCTGTGCACCACATATAATGCCTGGTGCCTGTAGAGAAGGTGTCAGACCCACCAGAACTGGAGTTCTAGATGATGGCGAGCTGCCATGTGGGTTTTGAGAGCCAACTAGGACCTCTGCAAGAGCTACCAATGCAGCTGGGTGGTGGAGGTGCACGCCTTTAATCCCAGCACTTGGGAGGCAAAGGCAGGTGGATCTCTATGAGTTTGAGACCAGCCTGGTCTACAAGAGTAAGGTCCAGGACAGGCTCCAAAGCTACACAGGGAAACCCTGTCTCAACAATGTGCCCCCACCCTCATTTCTTGAAGAAATATTTCAAGGGGCAGGCACAATGGCTCCAAAGTGTAAATGCACTTGCTGCCAAGCCTAACAACCTGAATTTGATCCTATTGTGATTCATGTGATGGAAGTTGACATCCCAAGCTGTCCTCTTACCTGTTGCTATGATAAGACACCCTAACGAATGCAAATTTAAGACAGAAAGGAGATTTGACCTATGGCTTGACCCACATTAGGCAAGATTTTATCATTGAATTACATTACCAGAGCCTCACCAGGTTGCTAGGCTGGCCTTGAACTCACTCTGTAGCCCAGTCAGACCTTGAACCTGCAGTCTTCCTGCCTCTGCCTCCCAAGTAGCTAGGATAACAAACCTGTGTCGCTCACTATGCCTAGCTCAAATTATATAAGTTAGCTGTACCATTTTCAATGTTCAATTTGATCAATCATTGTAGGTCAGTCAGTAGCATTGCCCTCCCACACTCTACTGTCTCTGGGGCAGCACTGCAGGAGGAAGCCTGCTGATGTTGCAGCTATTGCCCAAGAGTCAGAATTCTATGTGCTCTGAGCAGAAGTGAGCGACTGCTATTCCATCTCCCAAAAGCTGCAGGAAATGAGAAGCTGTTGACAAACAGCAAGGAGTCTCAAGTCTGCTGGAGCATGAGTGCCCGAGAGATGGATGACCTGCTGGATCCATATGGAAGAAAGGGAAAGGGAACCCTGTCATGGATAATGAGAGTCATGATCACACGTTGTTCTTCATCCACTAAATGTCCTTTAAACAGCACTGTGACACTCACTGAATGATCTCACAAACATTCTAAATCAAAAAATGTTTAATCTTCATACTGAAATCTTACCCTGGTGGCTAGCTGACTTATAACACTTTCAAATTGCTTTGTCCGTACTCCTTCTGTCAGATAATAACTCAATTTAATAATACATTCACAATGTATGTATTATGCCTAAGGAGTTGTGTTTTTCTTTCCTAGCAAAGGGAGCTGTATTACACACACACACACACACACACACACACACACACACACACTCATAGAGACAGACTTTAATAAATGGTTCATCATTTCCAGGAAGAGAGGAAACCAATTTGCATATTCGTGACTTAAGATTAGAAATAATTCCATCCACCTCCACTCAGCAATAGCCCTATACTTTTATATTTTTGGTTGTGAGCCTAGCCTTTAACAGCTGGGCCATCTTTCCAGCTCAAGCTCTATACTTCTGAAAGATTTATATGATTGTGCTTGTTCACCATGTGCATGCAGTACCCATAGATGCCAGAAGGGGGCATCAGACGCACCAATACTTTAGCTATAGGTGGTTGTGAGCCACCATATGGATTCTGAGAACTGAACTCAGGTCCTCTGCAAGAACATTAAGCACTCTTAACTGCTGAGCTATCTCCAGAGTCCCTACAGCCCTCTTCTTATTCCTGTGACTAAGAAAGCTTAATTGCTTCTGTGTGTCACAGATGAGAATTTTCATAATTGACGATGCCAGTGTTTACAGAAAATAAAAGCTAGCACAAGGAAACGAAAGACAAGCATGGTGTGGCATACTAGAACCTGGGAGGTGGAGGCAAGAGGGTCTCTGTGAGTTTGAGACCCATCTGGGACTAAATAGTGCCTTCCAGGATAGAGGAGACCATGGCACAAAACAACAAAAAATAAATAAGTTAAGTAATTAATTAATTAATGGACTGGGATTATATCTCAGCCGTAGAACACTAGCCTAATGTGCATAAGGTCCTGAAATCCATCCCCTGAATTATGCACTTTCTTTTTTTAAATAATATATTTTTTAGATTTATTACATATGAATGGGTGTTTTGCCTGCTTGTATGTATGTACAGCACATGCATGCAATGCCCTCGGAAGTCAGAAGAGGGCATGGATCCTCTGGAACTGGAATTACAGATGGTTCTTAGTCACCATGTGAGTGCTGGGAACTGAACCAGGGTCCTCTGCTAGAGCAACAGGTGTTCCTTGCCTCTGAGCTATCTCTCCAGTACCATAAATTACACACTTTTCAAGAGTGGATTTTATGGTGTGACAAGGGTGTCTGGGATGGGAAAGGAAGGGTCAGGTTGTCTTACTGTTGTAGCACAGGCCAAGTCCCTTTCCCAGGTTGTCATCACCCTGCATTTCTCTGTCAGAGGCTCACACAAAACTAGGTAATGCTTTGGGCATTTACATACCAGAACCTTCTTCATACTTGGCAGGCACAGCTCTGGTTGCTTGGCTGCTGGCTTCAGGAGTACAAGAGCCTCAAGGGTCAGCTCTGCCATGTGAGGACCCCCTTTGCCTTTGGTACTCATTTGCCAAATGTCTAAATGCTGACTGACTTTCCAGCATCTGTTACTGAAGGCAGGAAGATAAAGTAGTCTTTTTGCCCACATTTCTCAGGCACCCATGATTTCCTGAGACTGTGTTATGGTTTGGGTGTGAGATGTTCCCGCAGAAGTTCATGTGTTGAAGAGGGGTGTGTGTGTGTGTGTGTGTGTGTGTGTGTGTGTGTGTGTGTGTGTGTGTGTTACAGCATGGGTAGTCTTCGGGTGTTGACTGACTCATGAAGGCACTGATGTTACTGACGAGCGATCTATGGCCCATAGCTTAATGGGTTTGGAGGAGGGCCAAGCCCTCCACACTCAGAGGTCTAAGACCCTCCTCCGAAGTTCTCTTTTCCTCCTCTGACCTCTCTGGGGTGTTTTGTCACAGTGATTTTAGTACATTTCTCTAGAGCAAAACCTTGAAAACTTCCCCTCATGGGTTCTTTAAAGTTTTCCGACCTAAAGGCCTGGCAATTGTGGCAGAACTCAGGAGGGAAGTGACAAAAAGACGGTAAGGAAAGGGAAAGTGACCCCTGGCTGAGGTGATGTCTTCCCCAGGAGGCTTCAGATTGCCCCCCTCCCCAAAGGAACCCCATCTCAAGGTTAACAACAAACAAACAAACAAACAAACAAAAAACCAGAAGCAAAACATGTTTTCTCACCAGCTTGTCCTCTTGCCCTGGGTGAGGTAAGAGCAGCTGCCACCCACTGGACAAAGTCCGCTCTCCCTGTGACAATTCTGGTGCAACACTCTCCGCCCTACGCCAACCTGACCTTAATAGTATGTGTTCCTGAGAACTGAGGGTACTTGGCACTTGTCAGCATTTTCCAGAGACCCTCAGGAGTACCACAAACACTGTGCCCAGAGGGGAAGTGCACGATATGGTTTGAAACAAAGGTTGGGAAACTTTTTGTGGTGGGGTATGGGGCCACATGCTTACAATCCAAGCACTCAAGAGGTAGAAGTAGGAGGATCAGAAGTTCAAGGTCTTGCCTAGCATGGGCCAGACCTATTCCCATTGTGCTGAAGTTTCTATGGGGCTGAGTAATTAGAACTTGGTGGTTCTGACTGCTTTAATTGGCTCATTGAGGACAGGTTGTCACTTACTGGGAGCTCACACTGTAATCCCCAAGTCCCATAACATCGTGATGGATGAACGGCCCTTTGTCATATCCCATTGTGTCTGACTTTGGTACCATCCAATATTACTAGGAATCATTTACAGCCATTCACTGTTGTGTGAGTCTACAACTTCATCCCAGGGCAATGTGAGCTTATGTAAGTCCACCTAGGCCTCCCCCAAATCATTTACCAATCCCCTTAGAAAGGGCACACATTCTCCAAGCCCTGTTCCCCCATAGAAAGGGGCATACACACTTCTGGGTTAGTGAGCAATTATACTCTGACAGCCTCCTTGTACATAATAATAAATCGGGGCATGTTTTCTATTTTATTTATTGATGGTCAGTTAATTCCAGAGAACCTTAGACCTTTTCCCACCCATAGAGTCAAATGTTAGCTAACATGTGCTTAATGCTTAAATGCTAATCTTAAACACAAACTGCTCTTCCCCACCATGTGCACAAGACATCTGGATGTCTCTCATCAACCTTCTATGTCTTGAACAGCTCCAGTTTGCACCGGCCTCTGGAGCTATGTTATTGTTAGCCCTTCCAGACCTATCTTCCCAGATCTGGGTGGATGCTTCCCCTCTGGTCTTAGCTTGCATGCTCTTTCTATAGAGAGCACAGCCTGGACCCTATTGCCTGAAGAGGCCCCTCCAATACAAAGGTCTATTGTTTTGTTTTTGAAATAAGATCTCAAGTAGCTGTTTGGCCCTTAATTTAGTAGTGGCAGAGGATGACCTTGAATTTCAGATCCTCCCAAATGCTGACATGTGCCACCATAGCTGGTTTATGCAGTGCTGGGACTAGAATCCAGGGATTCAAGTGTGGTTGCTTGGCAAACACTCTACCAACTTAGCCATACACCCAGCCTGGTTTCAGTTGCTTGATAGCACCAATCACCCTCTGGAATGATCTACCTATCTGTTTATTCTCCTTGCCTTTCTTCCACTACAAAGAGCTCTGTCTAAAACCAGCCCACAGAGAGTCCAATGAGTGAATTAGATGGGGGGGGGGGGTGAGCTTACAAAACCAAAATATTTTCTTCAAGAAACTTCAGGAGAGCATTCAACCTTCCCATTGGTTGTTCACTGCGATCTTGAGAGAACTGTAACATTTCCTAGCTGAAGGTGACCTGTGAGGGCTGGGGTAGTCTCAATGGCTCTTTCCCATGATGAGGAAACAGACCCACAGAGGGGAAAGCCATTGGGAAATTTCATGAAGCAAGTGGAGGGGGAGGGGGGATAGAGGAATGGGGAGCAAAAAAGGCGTGTAAGCATCTACCTCCCACTGATAGGTTCCGGCCCAGCTTGATCCAGGAAAAGTGAATGGACCCGCCTTCCCTTCCTTGCCTTGCTCCCGGCTTCCGTCCCAGGTAAAACACACAAAGCAAAAGACCTAATAAGATTAGCTAGCTGAGCGTTCAGAAGAGAACCAGAAGGGAGATGTGGGCAGGGAACAGCAGCTACAGAACGGGGACCCTGGATCCCGGCACGTGCTGGACCACCCACCAGGACTCTCTGCCCTTCTTCTGTTATGCAGGTCTACCTTTCACCCGGACTCTCTGCCTTTCTCCAGCCACGTGGGTGTCCCCTTCGCATCCCAGGCCACTCTGCCCAAAACCCACCTCTGTCTGCATCGAGGCCTTTGCGGAACCTCTGAGTCTTCCCCCCAACCCTGGCAGCGCTGGCCCGGGCTGCTCCTTTGCCGCACCCTAGGGCACTCACAATAGCCAGGCAGGGTAGGGGCAGCTGAGATCAAAGCTGCAGCCCCCTCGTGCAGCACCTGTGCCCACGGCCCAGCCGTTTGTGCACGCGCGGCTCCGGCGCCCGGCCCAGCCCGGCATCCCCAGGCGAGGGATGCTCAGGCCCCGCAACATACCGCAGGCGCTCGGCTGTGACCGCGTTGCCTGTGTGCGGCCGCAGCACCGCCAGGAACAAGAGCCGCATGTCGCTATCGCCAAGGACTAAGCCACCAGGCCCCAGGGCCGAGGTGGAGTCCTAATGGAATCGGTCCCTCCCGCCGCTCCCAGGCGGAGCTGCAGGTTCAGGAGCAGGAAGGGGGAAGGGGAGGGGAAGGGAGAAAGAAAGGGGGAAAGGGTAGGAAAGGGTAGGGAGGGGGAGGGGAAGAAAGGAGAGGGGACGGGAGGGGATTAGGGAAAGGAGGGGAGCAGGGAGGGAGGGAGGGCTAAGGACAAGGGACAAGAGGAGACTAGCGGGTGGGGAGGGGTCACGAGCCGTGGTGTCAGGCAAACACGAGCTAAGGAAGGGGAGGGGACCCAGAACACAGGTGTCTCCTCCCGTGGTAGCCATGAGTGGGCTCCCACATGCAACCAACATGTTGGCTAGGAGACTGAGACTGCCTCCCCCAAAACCAGGTGAGATGTGGAGTACAAGCCCGGATGCGGACCGGGGGTTCGAGCCTTACTCTGCATACACTTATCTTTGAGGGGACCCTGGACTCCAGAATGTCCTGGACTCTGAAGCCTGAGGGCATAGGGCAGGCAATTCATCCTTTTTTTTTTAGATCCTGGCATCCCTGAACTAAGTTTAGTGAACTTCCCTGATGGAAGAGACTGGAGGACAGAATCATAATAGGGAAGGCAGCTCAGGGAGCCAGGTTCAGGGGTGCAGCAATACCGAGACTGAGGCAGGAGGATTGCTGTCACAAGGTTCTGAGGAAGGGGGTGGGAGGGAGGTGGCCTCCAGCAGTTTAGAATTTCTTGCTTGCTAGTCTATTATTCTCCTGGCTGAGCCACATTTCCCCAGCCCCGAAAGGCAGCTCTTTGAGGACTATGATGTGAAGCTAGGCTAGGTTTGTGGGGAGCCCAGGGCCCAGAGTCTCTTGCACCTGAGCAGGAAGGAAGCAGGAAGGGTGGGACGAGGCAGAACCCTCTGACAACATGACTTTTGGGAGAATTCATGGTGTTTCGCAAAGACATGTGCAGTAATTAAAACCTGAGCAATATTACAGAACCAACATTTTAAACTAACAAGCCCTGAAATCAACTTCTTCCCATCCTCCATAACCCCCCAACAACTTTAAAGGGGAAAGGGTGAGAAGCCTTGTGTGGGATTCTCCCAGCCCTGCTCTGCAACAGACTGGCTTCTGATTTGCCAAGAATGTCTGTGTACCATGTGCATGCAGTTGCAGTGTCCATGGAGACTAGAAGAAGATGTCAAATGCCCTGGAGCTGAAGTTACAGGTGATTGTGAGGTGGTACGCAGGTGTTGCATGGGAGCTCAAACACAAACTCTCTTCTGCAAGAGCAGCCGGTGCTCTTAACTGCTGAGCCATCTCTCCAGCCCTTGTGTCTTGATTTTTGACAGGAAGGTTGGTTAGACTGAAGCTCACATGGGATATTTCTGGAATATGAGTGTTCCATCAGGTGGGAGAAGCTGACATATCTTTTGGGACCCTTAACAGTCTCGTGGCCAACTGGCACTTTGCAGGGAGTCTTCTACAACTGTCTCAAGCAGGCAATCGGAAAGGGCACACAGGCAAGTATGTTTTCATGGAAAACGTAGAAATGATTACTGGGGAGGAGGGAGAGTGTTGAGATTGTTCCAGCTGCTTCTAACGTGAGGGTCTTAAAATATATGCAAAGAAAAATCTGTTTCTTCTCCTCCTCCTCCTTCTTTCTTTTCTCTTTGATTGTAGTGTTTGCTCAGATTGTTTCCTAGTTCTGAGCACTGGGGAGAAAAAAAAATTATCACCTACTCTGTAAAGATGATAGAATGTTCTAAGGAGAACTCCAAGGGCCTGCTGCCTTTAGAAATGGCTCTGTTATCAAAATCAACACTTTTTTTTTTTTTTTTTTTTTTTTTTTTTTTTTTGTCTTTTCTTTTATGCTGTTAATAGGCCAGGCAGCCACATCTCTGTTGCAGTCAGAGTTTTGAGTCTTTGTGTCACTGTTCTCCTCCATGCAGGTTGCCTGTGTGCATGATTGTGCATTAATGCATGACAGAAAAGGAAGGGGAGATAGAAACAGAAACAATAGGGGAGGGGAAGGAGGAGAGAGTGGGGAGATATTTTGAACATGTTCATATGAAAGAAGAAGAGTCAAAAATCACATAAAATCCCGTGACCCTGAGCAAAGCACCTCGGGGTGTGAAAGGTTCTTCACAGGCTGACTTTCTTGAAAGCTTGATCCTCGGCTGGTGTCGCTGTTGCTGTTTTGTACGATTATGGAACATTCAGGAAATAGCGCCTCAGTGGAGGAAGTGAGCTTCTGAGGGGTGGGCCAGCCTTGTGGTTGGTTTATAGTCTGATCCTATTCCCTGTAGGTCTGTGCTCCCTGACCTGTCCATGTTCCCACTGCCAAGCCCCCACCACAGCCACAACTTCCTGGTACGAAGGGTTCTTCTTTCCCAAGTATTTCTTGTTTTATGTATTTTTATCACAATGACCAGAACTCTGCTCATGTTTTCAAGTTTTCCAGATCTTAGAATGAGTTCACAGTAATCTCCCTGTTCACAGGGTGAGTACTGTGTGGACCTTGTTCCAGGTACAGAACTGTGCCCTGTCTGTCCCCCCATAGCCCTGAGCTGTAGGTTCTACTCTTTGTATCTGTGAATCAGGAAGGCCTGGAGCCTCCCATGATATCAGGTGAACTTATATACTCTGTCTTTGGCTTTATTATAAAAACATATTTGCTTATGCATTTTGTAGACAGGGGTTCAGGTAATCCAGGCTGGCTTCAAGCTCACTGTGCTGCTTAGTTTTTCTGTCAGCTTGACACAAGCTATGGTCATCTCGGAAGAGGAATCTCAACTGAGAACATTCCTCCATCATATTGGACTGTAGGCAAGTCTGTGTAGGGCATTTTATTGATTGATGACTGATGGCTAGAGAGTCCAGCCCCCAGTGTCAACTCTGGGATGATTGTCCTGGGTTGTATAAGAAAGTAGACTGAGCAAGTCATGAGGAGCAAGCCATGCTTCGTTCCTGCCTCCTGGTTCCTGCCCTGACTTCCCTATAGGATGGACCATAACATGGAAAGGTAAGCCAAATAAACCCTTTCTTCCCGCAGTTAGTTTTGGCCAGTGTTTTAAGACAGCAATAGAAAGCAAATATCTTACTTCATGTTTCTATTGCTGTGGTGAAACACTATAACCAAAAGCAAGTTGGGTAGGAAATGGTTTATTTAGCTTATACTTCCACACTGTAGTCCATCATTGAAGAAAGCCAGGATAGGAACTCAAACAGTGTGGAACCTGGATGTAGGATCTGATGCAGCATGGAGGGGAGGGTTGCTGTTTACTGGATTACTCCTGCTTTCTTATAGAACCTAGGACCACTTACCCAAGGGTGGTACCATACCCAATGGGCTGGACTCGCCTACATCAATCACTAATTAAGAAAATACCCCATAGGCTTACCTATAGCCTGATCTTATCGAGGCATTTTCTCAACTGAGGCTTTCTCCTCTCCAGTGACTCTACGTTGAGTCAAGTTGACATTAAATAAGACACTTACTTACTATGCATCCAAGGATGGCCTTGAACATGTTATTCTCCTGCCTCCACTTTCAAAGCTCTGGGGTTACAAGTATGAATCCTCGTGTCTGATTTTCTGTGGTGCTGTGGATAGAACCTGGGACTTTGAGCATACTAGGTTAGCATGCTACCTACAGCCACATCCGTAGCCCAAGGATAGAAAAATTTTGTTGATGATCTTCTGTTTGGTTTGCATTTGTCCTTACTACAAAAAAAGGGGGAACCATAGATATTTTATGTGTAATATGTTCTCTTTTTATTTAGTAACCATGGAAGGTAGGGTGATGGGATGTCTCAGTGGCTAAAATCATTGGCCACCGAGCCCAATGACCTAAATCCAATTCCCACATGATGGAGAGGACTGACTCCTATGACTTGTCCTCTGACCTTCCCTGTGCATGTCCTACTTGCTGGAGAGGTGGCCCAGAAGTTAAGTCTACTTGCTGCTCTTGCAGAGGATCCAAGTTTAATTCCCAGTACTCACATTAGGTGGCTCACAACTTCCTGTAAATCCAGCTTAAGGGGATGTGATACCTTTGCTCTCAAGGGGCACCTGTTCTCATGTACATACCCACACACAAGCACATAATTAACTATAATTTTTAAATCTCTTTTTAAAAAAATAGGTCTGGGGAACTGACTCAATAGTTGAGTATATATTATTCTTCCAGAGGACCTGAGTTCAATTCCCAGCAAACATGTCAGGTGGCTCACAACTACCTCTAACTCCAACTGCTGGGGATCTAATACCTCTAGTCTATGTAGGTGCCTGCATTTGTATATACAAACTTACACACAGAGAGAGACACACACAGTAATAATAATAATAAATTAAAATTTTTAAATAATTTTGGTAGGCAAAATTATGCAGCAAGTCCTGATAGACTTCTCCTGGTGATTCAGGCAAGTCCCATGCATGAATTACCAAGAAAAGGAATTGTAGCTATGTAGTTTCTTCACCATAAAATAGGAAGGTAATATCCAGGTAGGAACAATAAGCCAAAGGCTGGGAGGAAAGTATCATACTAGAATTAGCATAAACATTGTAATAAAAGAGGCCAGAGAGCTCAGCAGCTAAGAGTACTTACTACTTTTGCAGAAAACCTGAGTTCTCTTCCCAGCATCTATGTTGGTAGCTCACAACCACTAGCAACCCCAGCTCCAAGAGATCCAGTGCCTATGGCCTCCACAGGCAACTACATTCATGTGCACATAACCCCACACAGACATATACACATAATTAAATATTAAAAGAGATATTTAAGGTTATAATAAAAATGGGCCAAGGTGGACTGGACAATTTGTGCTTACTATCTTGGAATAGTAAATTTTATAAGGTCGTGCCCCCATTGACAGGACATCCCTTTTGGTTTGAGGCCAAAGGGCTGTTAGGACTCTGTTGTAGAATATTATTTTAAGATGTGTTGCTGGGCAGTGGAGGTGCTCAACTTTAATTCCAGCACTTGGGAGGCAGAGACAGGAAAATCTCTGTGAGTTTGATGCCAGCCTGGTCTACAGAGCAAGTTCCAGGACAGGCTCCAAAGCCACAGAGAAACTCTGTCTAGAAAAACAAAGACAAACAAACAAAAAGATG